TATTTATACCCAACCTTTAATCATTTTAAAAGTTACATTCAGATGTACTAATAATGTTTTAGGAACTTCTTTAGAAGTTTGGTAATTGTATAGTGATAACTAAAGACTGTGTAGAATAATAACTTTATAAAGAAAACATTTTTAATAAATAAATTAAAACAAGAACATTGTTGCATGTTTTTGCCATTTTTTTCCCCAAACATATTTATAATAATTTTAAAAAATATATAAAAGAAATTTTAACACAAAACGGCAAATCATTTGATGTCATCAATAGATAATTCCCATATCTATATGATCATGTCGAGCTTAGCCAGCTATTCCTTACAACGTCCGGGATTCATTTTTCGGGGAATTGGCGGTAGTGCGCAGTGGTCAATGTCGACACTGGTTTGACTGTAGGCCCAGGCTGAGGCCAAGAGTTAAAAACTGTCCTCTGTCAGTTGTATTTCTTTGTTACACTTCAAATTAATAAACACACGTTGATGATTTAAGATATGAACTGCGTGTCATAAATGTACAGTGAACGCTGCAAGTCTACGGTAAACCTATAAATCATTTAAAACGCTACCAATCATCACTAGATATTCAAGTGAAGGCCAACAGAAAATCTCAGACATTTATTTTATTATTTTAAATGAGCATTGTTGAAGTGGAAGAAATTGATGTGGGAAATAAAAATTACTTTGATTTCCATTAATATTTCAAAAAGAATATAAGAAAAATTTGGTTTAAATTGCTTTATAAATAATAAGTTAAAAGTTTGTTAATCTTATTGCGTTCCCGATAGGAACATATGTTTATAGACAAATAGCTTTATAAATAAATTACGTGTTACCTTCTCCGAAAAAAATATCAAATGTAACAATTTAAGATATTACTAATAAATGTAAGTTAATTATGGAAATGTTTATTTCTACATAATTGAACTTTAATACACGAAAAGTCTGACAAAAAAATAACAAAAACTGATCGAAAATAATATTCAAAATTTCTTTTGTCAATGAAAAATTAATCTAACCAATACTTTTTCAATATTGATCATGAATAGCTTTATCCTGTACCATACAGCTAACTGTAATTCAGCTTGAGGAGAGTAACAGAGGAGACAATCTTTATTAAGTGTGAGTGTTCGCAGTATCGTCAGTGTTATTTAATTTCCCCTGAAAATAGTTAAAAGAACAAATTCACATGAGAAGAAGCACGGGATTGACCCTCGCCTTCGACCCTCGCCTGCGGGGGATATCTTGTACTTTCACACCAGTGCTAATTGACAAGTGCCTGGTCACCAGAGTGAAATAATAGTTTTGGTTTTAAATACTAACTAATATTCCCGGACGTATAACAACTCCATCAGCCCCAGTAAAAGTGTCCATTACAGAAGTAAGACTTGCAGTGCTGTACTTTAGTAAGTGTTAGTTTCAATTGTTAACTAGCACAATAGGCACTTACTTTGATTTTATTTTTTTTCAATTTTTTTTTAAATTGTATCTTTGGAGCAGAGTTCCAAGACTTGACTACTGATAGTGCTTGTTTAAAAATTGGTAATAAAAAATAACTTAACATTTTTTGTTTGTTTTTATTTTTGTTGAACTTACAGTAATCTTCAGTAAAATCAAAATTCTCAGAAAAAATCTTAAAACATATGTTTCAGTTTTACTGTACTTAGAAAACAGAACATTTAGAGTATTTTCTATATTATATTGATCTCATGTATAATTGTAGCATGTATAATTGTAGCATGTGTAATTTTAACATTTTAGTATTAAATACAAAGGAAATCTTTAAGAACAATAATGTACTATGCTGAATTGATTCAGAAGTAACTCTTGAAAACTGCATGAAATTCATTTTTTTGCAATGGAAATTTATTTTGATTTGAAGAATGTAATAATAAAACCAATCCAATCAAAACTGGTTTGTACTGGCTATACTACGTACCCTTTCATTCTTTTTCATGATATTACATGTACAAGCAATAAAGAAAAACATTAATTTTCCTCTGGATCATAATCAATGAAAATGACTGCGGAGTTTTATTTAATTTACTGATTCTGTTTAGAGAATTGCCAAAATATGACTTACATTGTAATTGATATGATTCCAATATATTTACGGGGGTAATATAATCTATGGTAACATAGTCGACACAGAATCATAGACATGGCTGTTTCTACAGATTTTCAACTCGATAATACACACATTTTCCTTAGATGTAAAATTACTTATTATTTTGAGAAGGAAAAATTTTACTCAATTGATTTTCAGGTGTTTTGTTTGAGATTTGTAGGTGAAACAGGAAATACAGGTATTAAGTTTGTTTAACCTAAGTACATGTACTTTATATTTATATACCATTATCAACTGCAGGAAGATAAGGGTAATTTATGTTAATCTGTCAAAGTTTATTTGTTCAAACTGTAGAAAGTTTTAAAATTTGTTCTAATTATTTGGTTTAACTTGAGGATACTCGACTGTAGTATCTGATAATGTCCATATCATTTGATTATTTTCTGCTTGTATGTACATACTTCAGTAATCTATAAATTTAATTTATTGCCATAAATTAACAGCAGCCTTTATTTTTAAAATATATGCTATCTGGTTCACTACTTATAATACTGTATTTGAAAATTTGAAATTAATGCTACCTTGCCGTTACTATTTTAAATGAATACAAATATTGTACCTTCCACACCTGTATTTTCTTCCTGTTCTATAGTACTTATTTCCTTCATTAACAGAGGTCTACAAATTTAAATATTTTAATTTTTGAGAAAATCTGTAAAACTTATATATATAAATTAAGTTGTCTTTTCCTGATGGAATAAGTGAAGAAAGTTCAACCGAAAGTGATGATAATAAGCTATTGTTAATTATGTACTACACAAAAATGTTTATGTTGATCGTTAAGTACAGGACGACCATATGAACCGGTATAGCACAATAGTTCCCCGGTGATATTTAGTAGGGTGTCAGTCGGTACAAGCACACATATCGGTGTACATACTATTACACACATAATGGTCCAACTGTAAATTATATTTATTATAATTACTGACAAACAGAAATGTGACCCCACAGTCACCAACTGATGGCTTTTTACTGAATAGATAAATGTCATTATTCTTTTTATGATTTAAAGGTTAGCAGAAAATGATGGAAAGTTTAAATAGAAGAATCCTAATTCCTATTACCTAAAGAGGTTCGAACAAAGAGATCAGTCCTGCGCTTGTAATATTAAACAAGACGATGCATTTTTCTAAGGCAGTTTAGCTGATGGAACCGATAACTCTCAGCTAATTATCCCTACCACACACAAGCTGTGCTGTAAAATTATAATGAATTTCGATCAAAATTGGAACATAACTTGGTGAATTTCATTGATTTTAAACGATAAAATCAATTTAGTCTTTTTTCCAGGTCAGCATGAACTCCCAGTAGCATTGACATTCTCATGACTGGTCGAGTGCCAGTTCAATAATTAATTTGAACCGACAGATACTTATCTATCGACAAAAATTTCTTTGATTTGGAAAATTATATACATGCTTGAGAAATTTATTGAGAATACATTTCAATTCTTTTCAAATAAAATGTGATAAATTTTTGTTGGGTTTATTAGTTTAAAAAATGGTAAGAACAACAAAAAATGGTAAGAACAACAAAACCTTTTTTTTAATAAAAATTAATTTAAAACTTACTTCTAAGAGATCTTCCTTCCGAATCCGGGGTTCCCCTATCAAAGTCTCCCCCATCCGAGAAATTTTCTGAGTTGGTGGCAGAGCTGATGCTAGAAGGACGTTCTTCCTTAACAAAGGGTGTGGATCCCTTACTTTCCGCACCCTCATGGAGAGGATCACAACTGTCTCTGTCCAACTTCTCTGACGAGGCATAACTAGAGCTGGACTCATCAAGTTTGGGTTTTTTAGCCAAAGAAAACGCAGAATGATAGTTCTCAACTCCTTCGGGGTTACTGACAGGCCTAAATGCGCTCCCACCCCCGGGGTTAATCAGCCCCATCCCGCGCTCCAGGTTGGCACGTACATAAGGGGGGACAGGTGTGTACATAGGAGGGGGGAAGTGTTCCCCCGGTCTGTACATGGTAAAGGGAGGGGTGCCAAAAGGTGTCGCCAAGTCTTTGTCCACATTTTGTCCTTGGTAGTGGTGGGGTGGAGCGGGCATCCGCGCCCCCTCATGATTTTCAGCTGTTGATGCCAACACCATCAGAGCCGGAGAAGTCAGTGGATTAGGAACAAATGAAGTATTTTCCATGATACCTGGGTTTCCGGCCTGAGCTGCAGCCACTGCTGCTGCATGGTGAGAAAAGAATGGGTTTTTGTGCCATAAATTAAAACGAAACATGGCAAAATCAGAAATACCACTCATGTTGTAATAGTTTTCAGGAAAAATTGTCCCTTTCCTATTTTTTGAGCAATTCATGAATTATGTTTTAAGTTAGAACTGTCCAGTAAAAGTATTATTCCTGTAAAGCACTACAGGTAACACACCAGTCCACCTCTATAATTACTCCAATAGTTGTCGTCTTTATAGTCCGATTACCAGATGAGCTATTGTAATACAGATGGGTATGTTCATTGGTTTCGACTATTTATCTGACTGGAGCAATATTGGAACAGCCCACTTTAAATATATTATCTTACAAGACTGAAGTGTCAAGTGGTAGCGGCACATGCGCAGTAGCGACCACTTCCATATATGGCAACTGTCAATAATAGTCTACCTATAGGAATTCCCCTTCACGTAAATAAGATAAATATTTCGGGAAATAAGACTTTATGTACAAAATAAAACACTTTCCATCATTAGTTAGCTATAAGGATGCTTCAAACTACAAAAAAATGGAAAGAACATCGATTTTCGGAGGCAGATGGTACTCGATTGAAAAGTGCGCTATTTGTAAACAAACCGAGCGCAGGGTTGAGTTCCAGTCCAAACTATGATGGGACTGATTAATAAATTGACAAAAACAAACATGGCTTTACAATAAATAATCAGATAATGCACATAAATAGATCCGATTTTAGCATTTGAAACAATTATACGGGCACTTCAAATTGGGATGACAAAGATATCAAACGGATAAATTTGGCAATACTCACTGAATACTAGGATAACACCTTCGACATTAGTGCCTCGTTCTCACAGGGAAATCCCCACTGAGAATTGTGGGTAAAACGAGGATTCCCTTCCGTGTTCTTAAAATAGCTAAACTGATTAACTAGTGTGAAATGTTTATATTTCCCATGCTATGTTTTGAATTTAACGTTGTTATGGACGTTACCGATGAAAGACCGATATCTTTAATTCCTAGTTCGACGCTTTTCTAGACAGCGGAAGACTCTGATAAGGTTCTTAATCAGTCTTCATAGTGAAATTAATATATAAGAGGTCTGTTAATATTGGTAAAATGCCGAGTATCATCCCCGTTTTTGTTTATTTTTTTAATCACCTAATTCACAACATCCTGTTTTTATTATTTATTTATTCGTTTAACTCAAACTCAATCTCAATCAACTTGAAACATAAAACAGCATGTCAATTTATGCTACTGTCGAATATGAATCAATGTAGGTATTTCTTACGTTTGTTTTAACCGGTTTCGACCAGATGACAAATTTGAAACGTTTAGTGTATTATATTTGGTTATCATCTAAAATATATGAAAATAAATTAAATACAAAAAAAA